AGAGAACCAAAAATAGCTGTCCTGGTCTGGAAACTTATCGTCTTGCTCATTCCTATCCAGTTCAAAGTAGCAATCATCAGAGAACACTAGCTAATGTAGCTTCAGTGCATTGTGTTTACTCAGCAAAAGATACATTTGCAAATCTGACTGAGTGGAAAGTATAAGTTACTGGTTACTGTGCTTTGTGGATACAATGTAACAAGAGTTTCCTCTCCCCCCCCCTCCTGCCCCAAGATTTGAATAACATTTATAATTTAGCAGTTAACTGAAATGATGACATACCTACCACAATGGAAATAAAATGTATGCTTATTTATAATAAAGCTTATTTATAATGTGCTCCAAGCCAGCATTATGAACTGTCTTCAAAAGACAAAGTAATGCTGGCAGAAAGAGCAACTGAGGTCGGAATTAAGAAGGAAAGAAACTAACTTGTTAAAAAGATGCTCCTTCCATCCTACCCTGGGATGACCAATCAGGAGGCCAATATGATGCAGAATGGTAGACTATGAGGGGGTTTTGTTGTTTTTGAAAGCTTAGGAAATTACACACACAAAACAATGTTAAAAGGTTGAAGAGTCAAGCACACAAAAATGAGGAAATGCTAGAACTAAGGTTTCCTGTGCATTAATTCAACCTCCTTGTGCGCATGCACTAAGATACAGTTCTTAATTATATGATCATATACTGTTTTTTCCATAGGACCCTGCCTCATTCTGTACACAGGAGGATGAACCTGCTCTGGAGATGAATCAGGGTTGTATAATGAAGGAGGCTGTTGTGTAGGGCCCTGCCTCATCTGTTATTGCAGAATTTAGAAGGAACATCAGGAGTGAGATAGGGGAATGCAGAAATGGATAGGATGATGTTATGGTTAAGGCAGTTGAAACCTTCCCTGGAGCACTGGATTTTATTCCTGCCTATGCCACGGAGTTCCTGTGTGACCGTAGTCACTTAAATCATACTTTTCACAAGTAGTGTGTTCCTCATTTTCTGGGCACATAACTTGAGACCTGGAAGTCTAGTTTACAAAGCGCTGAACACTCAGAGCTGCAGCTGAACCAATGAGAGCTGTTCTCTGAATATGTGAAATGCTATTAGGGATGTAAAATCCCATTTAATCAGTTAACCAGTTAAGTGTTACATTTAACCAGTTAACTGATTAAACTGGATCTCACGGGCAGGGGGCTGTTCCAGCCTGACTGGGCCCACTGTGCCGCAGGCTGCTCTGGCCAAGCTGGGAATGCGCAGACTGGGCCCACAGCACCACAGGTGGGTAGGGAGCGTTCCCTTCCCCCGACCCATGGTGTGTCGGGCCAGGCCAGGCCAGTTAACTGGTGACTCCCTAAATGCTATAATGCTCACTACTCAAAAAGGGGAAAAAAAAACCCCACAAAAAAACCAGTTCTTAGTCATTTTAAACTGGGTCCCAAAATTAGCTGAAACTTTTGACCTTGATCTCTGTATTTCAGTTCTCTATTTGTAAAAGGGGAATAATAGCTGTGCATCCCATATGAATGTTGTGAACATAAATTAATATCTGAATAGCCCTCAGATACTACAGCACCTTAGAAAATCCCTCATGAAAACAGTATGTCTGTCTTCACAGAACAGTTTGAATAGCATGCAGCAAATAAAGGATGGGACCACACATTGAACAACAACGGAAAAAAAAATATTGAATGGCTGCTCATTAGGTGAGCACAATCCATCCTGTGCACTTAATGAGCATTCAGAAAAAGAAATAAGTAATCATATAATTAAAGACTGTACTGTAAGGCATGCATAGACACCAAGGGCCAACCGACAGTAGTACAGGCATCCTTAATTCCAGCACATTCTAACTTTTCAGTGACTGACTTCACCTTACAATGGTAATGTTGTAGTTTTTTTGGGTGATGCTTAATTTAAACTGCAAAGTTTATGTATATCTATTTATACATAAATTAGGTGCAGTCCTCAGGCTCCTGGCAAGATGCAATATGGCCCTTGTCTCCACCAAGGCTGGGTGCTCCTGAATTAAGATGTACCTTTTATTTTAAAAAAAAAAAAATCATTTGCAGCAGTTTACTGTCATTGCAAAACAGCATCAAGCCTAATGCAGAGCAATAGTGCCCTCTTCTGGAGGACACTGAACATAACCACCATTCAAGTATTAATGGGACAAAGCTCCCTAGAAGGAACTAAGGGTATGTCTACACAGCAGAGCTATAGTCAAATTAGGCTGCGCAACTTCACCTACGTCAATTGCGTAGCTTAAGTCGAAATAGCTTAATTAGGCTTTTGGTGCTGTTTACACAGCAGGAAGTGGAAGTACATTCTTCCTTCGACTTCCCTTACTCCTCGTGAAATGAGGGTTACCATGAGTTGAAGTAAGAAGTCCTGCAGCTCAACATTATTTCGAACTAAAGGCTTGTAGTGTAGACACGCTCTTTGTTATTTCAGAATAGCATTAATTATTCCAAAATAACACCGCTGTGTCAATGTTCCCTAAGGGAACTACCACAGCGCAGCACAGTCACCACAGATGCTACCTATGCCAACGGAAAGGATTCTCCCCCCTCCCACCCCAGCACAGGCAAGCCACCTCCCCGTGAGGCGGCAGCTGGGCTGAAAGAATTCTTTAGTTGACGTACTGCTGGAGCTTAGGTTGGCTTAATTACATGGTTCAGATGCGTGGATGAAGGTAGGTCAGCCTGACGTAGTAGAGACTAGGCCTAAGTAGTTACAGATTTAAGTGATCTGCTTTGCACTCTATTTGCTTGGTACAGGTAGTTGGAGAGCCTTCACTACCAGCAACAACAGATGCGCTGATGATAAACATTGACGAATGTACATAAAAAATATCTTCCTTTTATCATGGAAACATATGGTGCCTGCATTATTTAAAGGGACACATTTAGGCTTAAAATTGTATTTGAAATAAATCAGCTTCCCTTGAGTGTTACTGATACCACACACTCTTTAAAAATAATTTCAAGCAAATCTTATTTTACACTATCAATGTTGTGAACATTTTGCACTTACTATTTGTATGCATCAGTGTGTTTTGTACAGCAACAAAGAGGAAGAAACAGGGATTATCTAATGGCTCTGAACAGAGGAGCTGAAAGTCTCACCAGGCCCCTGGACAAGGTGGGAGAGAGGGGGACTCAGTGGTCCCAGAAGGGGTGGGAGCTCAGGTGGAAGGGACAGGGATGGTGTCAGCCAGCCCTGCCTGCATTCTCCTTCACAGGAGCAGCAGGATTAAGAAAAGAGACTAAAAAAGGGATGGAATGAAAGGAAGGTTATAGCCTTGCAGATTGGGAAGGAGGAGCTTAATGAAGAACAAGGTAGCAGGAAAGAGAACACGAAGGCAAAAACAAACAAAAAACCCAAGGGGCTAATGAGACAGATACAGGAACAGATGAGAACATAGAAGAGATGTAGGAGAGGGAGAGGAGTTATGCACAGCCTTGAAGCACAGGACAAGCTTGTATTTGATGCTGAATGTAAGAGTAAGCCAACAGAGGGATTCAAGGAGGGGAGTAATCTAGTCTAGCAGATAGGGGATATAGAAGATTCTGGTCCTATGTGCCTACTTTTATGTTTGTGCTTGTGTATTTTGCTGGATTGGGGCCTGTGGATGCAGCATTTTGGAGGAGCTGGAGGTGAGTGAGATAAGGATGTTAAAATTGCAGTTACCTGGCTAGTTGTGTAGTCAATTAAGGGCTGCTCTGCAAAGCTGCAAAGGGGTCTCGCTCTAAGAGCCAGCTTGCACTGGGATGGAGCAGTCCCGGCTTGTCCTGGCTCCAGGAGCCACCCATGCTGCAGCTTTGCATTTTAAATGTAGTAACAGCTGCCAGGCTCTTACGATGTTTAAAATGCAGAGGCGCAGTATCCCAGACCAGAAAGAGCCAGGACTGCTCGATCCCGTCTCATTCTGAATCCAGCAGCCTCTCTTCGTTGTAGCTGACCCTGTCCGCCGCGAAGAGGCTTCTCTGGCACCAGCCCCTTTTTGCCGCAGACAGGGCTGACTGAGGCCAGAATCGCCCCTGTGTGCAGCCATCACTGGCCGCTGTGAACAGGAACTGGGGCTGGAGCAGCTGCCCACAGCAAGCCTCAGCCTGCAGCAGCTTCTACGCCGGCTCCTCCCAGCACTTGGCTCCTGTTTCCCCCTCCCCCTTGTTACCTCTTATAGAGGCAGCAAGGGTGGGGTAAGAAAGCGAGTAGTCGATACTCCACTCAACTACCTGATAAGCTTAAGCTAGTGAACTAGTCAACTACTTGCTAACATCCCTACAGACTGAGACAACAGCAGGGGAAGCCACTGTGCACAACTCAGACATCTGCAGAAAAAGCAATTTCCTTTTTCTGCTTTCCAGGCCCTAGTGCAACGCTGAAGGATTCAGGCTGTAGACACCACAGTGAAATTTTGAAATCCAAATGATTTCCATTAAACTGTTTCTCTTGCACTCTCTTTTTTATTCTAAATTTGCTGAAGAGACGTTTCATTTGTAGTTATTTTTTATTTTACACTTGTACATAAAGCCTAACGTACATTCCAGGTCCAGAGGTCCCAACGTGTAAAAAAGCCTGAAGGTTCCTATTTAAATGGACTGGAATCATTGGAATCCACTCTCTTCCCTCCTTTTCTGGGACTTATTGTCCCAGGCAGTCACTGAATCTTGTGAAGTTCTTGGCCTCAACGAGAGATTGGATGTTTACTGGATAACAACAATAACCAGGGTTATAATAGTTAATGCCAAAAAAGCTTGCAGAAGGGAACCTGAAGTATCAGGCTTCTAACGCTGTCCTCTTTTCTCCCCTAACAGTAGAGGATAGCAGGCAATTTAAACTACAGAACATCTTTTGATGCTCCAAAGCTCCTTGATGTTCTTTTCTCTGCAGTTCCATTTGTGATAGCTGAGTCCATGACCTAGTAATCTGTAAATAGGTAGAAACAATGAAAGCTGGTATTAAAAAGAAATCAAGTGAAAAAACAGAAAATTGATACTCACCTCAAGCCTTTTTTCAAGTGATTCTATTCTGTCTTTTTTGCTGGCCAAGTTAGCTCGTGTGTAGCGGTTCTGTCCTGGTAGGTACAAAACCTGGCTATAGCATTCTTCCCACACCTGGTTATAAGCCTCACTTGAGAGCTCTCCATGTCCCATTCCTTGCTTTACCACTTCCATCTCTTGTGCCAATATATCCTGGGCCTGTTGGAAATTATGAGAAATAAATTACAATCATAAAACACAGACCACGAGAAAACAACTTGTTTTCAGTCCTTCAGAGTGCAATTTTCAGGGGTAATTTCTCTTGCTATACAAAAAGGCCACATTAGAATCATAGAACCACAGCGCTGGAAGAGACCTCAGAAGGTCATCAAGTACAACCCCCTGCTCTAGGCAGGACCAATCCCAACTAAATCAACCCAGCCAGGGCTTTGTCAAGCCGAGACTTAAACACCATTAGGGATGGTTAAGCTAAATATGAAAAGCAACACGAATGTAGTTGAATATAAATTAAACCTTGGCAGGGGGCTACTTACAATGGAGCTATTCCTCATTTCACACAATTTAACCAATCCCAACTATATGCTATACTTAATAAAAGCAGAGACAGGTTGAGGTGTCTAGCACTGATGCAAGAGGGGGGAAAAGATAAGAGCAAATTATCTTAAGCAGGGGAGAAAGATCAGCTGCTTTAGCACATACTTAAAGAAAGGAAAATATCATCATTTTCTATTTCTTGCTCTCTGTGGCACAGTTTAGAAAATCTGTTCTAGCAAGAACGGATCATCAAGTTTCCATGCAATACAGGCGACAATGCAAGAAAGAAGTCTCTGATTACAGCTGAATAAAATATAGCTTGATCTTGGAGAAGGACTTGAATGTTCTACCATTTCCAATTCAGCATAAGCAGCTTGACAATGAGGAAGGAACAGGGAAGAGGAAAAGACTCATGCTGCTCCCCCATAATCAAAAAGCATGACACAATCCATCCGGAATACATATGCCTCCAAAAGAGACCTACTGCACAAGTTCCAGTCTGTTGAAATGACCCTGGAAAGAGACATTTGGGGCATGTCTACACAGCAGCACTATTCTGGAATAACTGACATTATTCCGAAATAACAAAGAGCGTGTCTACACAGCAAGCAATTATTTCGAAATAATGGCAAGCTGGTGGACTTCTTACTCCAACTCCTGTAACCCACATTTTACGAGGAAAAAGGGAAGTTGAAGGAAGAGTGCTCTTCCTTTGACTTCCAGCTGTCGAGACAGTGTCAAAAGCTGAATTAAGCTATTTTGACTTTAACTACGCAATTGAAGTATCTGAAGTTGTGTAGCTTAATTCAACTTTTGCTCTGCAGTGCAGACATGCCCTTAGACATTAAGATCAAACTAACAAATAGATTTCAAAAGTTCCTCTCACAACCACAGAATGCTGCTACTGTTCTTGAGACAAAATGAAGTTTGAGAAATAAAAGATTACAGGGAAAGTTTTCAAAAGTGGTACTTTAATTTTAGGGCTGGTACCATGACACATCTTATAAGCGCCTGATTTTGAAGGAGGTGCCAAACACCTGTCTTCTGACAATTAAGGAGTATCAAGTTGAACATGCCAAAACTGAGGCACCAAACTCACTAGTCATTTTTTAAAATCTTTGCTTATTTCAAAATAAATACTAAAATACAACATAAGAAAGTAAGAAATCCAGTGCTCCAACTTCAGGAAAAACCCTTGATACATAACTCAACACAAAAACCCCTGCACAAAAGAATTGTAAGGTTCCAGAATTCATTGCTCTGTTGTATCAGTGTAACTCCTTCAACTTCAAATGTAGTTACACTGACAGAAAGCTGGTGTAATGTAGCAGTGAAACTGACTACTTGCATTAGCATCAGATCTGCTATCCATAACAAATGCATAAGGGAAATAAAAACTACCACGTGACATATAATATTGACAGAGTCATAACTAAACCTTTCTTACAGTATCACACAGAGGTATAAAAGGCAAACTCTGAGTTTTCAAAATGTAGTGATTCACTAGATAAATCACTGAACTTCAACCATGCTTTATAGCAACACACCATCAAGAAGACTACTTGGGTATTTCTGAAATCATCTTATCTGGTGAATCTAAGGAAAGGCTATTTAACAACACAAGCCTGTAGCTCAGAAAGAGGTGTTACATAGTTAACTAGTAAGTATATCGGTAAGCATGAGGCTTCCCAGTACCCTTACTGATTAACCTGCTGTTGCTGGTGGATTCCAGTAGTAGCCAATCATGCCAGGCTGGAACAGCTCCGGTCCTAGAAGAGCTAGCAGGCCAGGAGGCGGGACCCCACAGCTTCAGTGGGACCCCACGAATGGGCAGCAGGCCCGGAGTTAAAACAGTTAATTGTTGTAACAGTCCTAAGTTCCAGTGAGGTTAATATAACTAAATCCCAACAAAGAGTAATTTTTTTGCTAGTATCGATTTACATCCTTTGAAAAATTAGACTACGGAATTGTGAAAGCCCAGGCTTATTGGCTAATTGTGTAAACCAGGGTTGGAGAACCTTTTTTAGGGTCAGGGGCCACTGACTCAGAAAAATCAGTTGGGGGCCGCACACAGGTGAGAAGCAAAAATTAACAAACCCTCACTCACATGGCCTCTGATTGAGAAGGAGAAAGACTCTCCCCTTCTAGCCTGCCTCCCCATCCCACCTCAAGTCTCTGGTGTGCAAGGGGAAGAGCCTCCACACCAGAGTCTAGGGGGGGCTGAGGCTAATAGATTTTGTGCCCCATGGCAGGGGGAAAGGACTGGAGCGCCAGCATGGACTCCCCAATGCTGGGGTAGCGTTGTCAGTGGGAGAGGGTCTTCTCTTTTTCTGAACTTCTGTCAGTCAGGGAATTGTTTTTTCCACACCAGTGAGTGACAGAAGATTTAGTGACAGAAGTCCTAGTGTAGACATACCCTTACTTAAAGGTTATTGACACATCCTCAATGGCAACTCTCTCATGGAGCCAACTCCACGGTTTTTCTTCTGACCTGCCAGTCAGTCACTTGGCTGTGAAGTGAAACATCTGTAGCCATTTAATAAATTTACTCCCAGAACCAGAGAGATCTTGATATGTCATTTTGGTCATACAATGCAAGTGGGAATGGAACTCTGAAATTTTCTTTGTTTCAATTGCAGCCAATTCTGCCTACCTAGCACCCCCCATGTCCAGGTAGCTATGGTTTAAACTGAGTTGCTGCAATTGCAGATCATATTGATGTAGAGTAGTAGACTTGGCAATGGCCTACATCAAATGCTATAAGCCTACAGCCATATTAGCTATAGTCTATTTTGAAGCTGAGTGACTAGATGAGAAAGGGGGATCAAAAAGGTTGAATTATTATTTTCTAGGGATGTTAAATTTCAATTAATCAACTATTCGATTAGTTGATAAGGGGGAGGTGAGGCGCTTACTATCCTGGCTGCCCCTCTGCCTTTTAAATGTAGTGGGCCCAGAGCTCTTACTACATTTAAAAGGCAGAAGCACAGCAGGGAACATGGGGTGAGCGGGGACTTAAGTAGTTCCTGCTCACGCCATTTCCCCACTGTTCCTCTACCTCCCCTGTCCCCCTCCCGAGACAGTGCTGGGGAGAACTGGCTTTTAAGCCGGCTCTCCCCCGCACCGGTTCCTGCTCCTTCCCCCGCCCTCCCCCCACTCCTTGCTGCCTCCACATAATAGTTCACTCTTCTGTAACTCCTTTCATGTGAAGGTCTCAGTGCACTTTCCAAGTGTTACAAAACACATAAAACAACCTGTGACGTAGGCAATGGAGGCTGGAAGACAGGGAAGTCTGCAGGAGTCAGAAAGCCCCAAATTCTAACCTGGGCTCTGCCACTGCCTCATTGCATGGCTTGGAAAATTCACTTCATCTTTCTGTCTCAGGTTTTCCCATGCACAAAATGGGTAATACAAGAATTCTGTGAGCTTTAATTCATGCCTGTCCCGTGCCTTGAATATATATAATATAAAGTGGTATGCGTTAATTATTACTACGTTTATAATCAGGGCTTGACGAACTGCGGCGAAAGCCGCTCGTCAGCCCCGCACTGCGCATGCGTGCGCCGCCAGTAAAGGGGACGCTGGGCTGAAATCTACTCACCATAGGCGAGTAGATTCAATAGACTGTCAAGCCCTGTTTACAGTACATGGATTTGCTTCCACCTCAGCAGTGACAAACAGAAAAATTGCCCGCTAACAGTGTACAGGACCACTACACAGCCAGTAGCAGATGGGAAATGAATAATATCAGCTCCAATTCAAACTTGAGGGTAATTTAATTTCATGGAACAGATTATCATCATCAAGACGTAATTTGACTTTAGCCACTTCTGGTAGGGGCTCCTATAGAGCTTTTATTTACTAACAGACAGGTGATCAGGACATTTTATCCAAAGGACATCACCTCCAACCACACAGTGCCTCCTAAAACCATGTTGGAGCACTGGCTCAGTTATAACCTCCAAGGAAAAGTGCCACCTGCTACATCATCAGTAACACTTCCTGCAACACCTACATGCTGTTTGGAGATTTCCCATTACATTTCATTCAGGCTTGAGCTTGTTTTCCTTGCAAGATGGCAGAAACATAATACCTGGAGCCCACTTGTCGCTAATCATGTGACACACCGTGCCTACCTTCTTGAGTTCCTCTTTGGAGTACTTCTCATACTGATTTTGTTCAAGGTATGTCATATGCTCTGCACTGTTGGTTCCAAATCCTGGGCCTTTCCCCTTTTTGGCCCCTGGCTGCTCTCCATATGGGTGATGCAGCAGATCAAAATGAAGCATGGTGATCATCTCTTTCTTTATCAACTCTTCACTTTTCTGCAAGTCTGTGAGAGGAGGCTCTACGTTCAAAGGTCTCAGAATCGTTTCGTTCACCTAGCCAGAAATAAAATATGTTCAGAAATGTTATGTATTATTAATGTCATGTTAGCCGAAATATATTAGTACAATGCACACAGTAATGTTGGCATTTAAAACGGAGCTGTGTGTAACAGATGATTAAAGAACTTTGTACCAGCAGAGTTACCTAAAAAACACATTTTATTTTCAGTTATGTGTATGCAACACCCACTGATTATATCCATATGAAGGCAGAAATTGGCCACAAGATGACGAAATTAGCATACTAACGGAATGATTTTATTCATTCATGATCCAAACTTAGCTGTATTACGCCTCCTGTAGCTATTGTTTAAAAGAAAGCCAAACAACTATTCTCAATGTCGCGTTAAATCCTCTTTTTCCTTTTTACAGCATTTGGATCTTACACCATAATGAAAGACGCTTCTCTTACTTACTTCTGCGGGCCTTGGCAGATCCTTCTGAACAGCTTTGTGCATCCGCTTTAGCTCCTTTACACGCTCTGCCTCTCTAATCGCCTAAACAGATATTTCAAATGTTAGTCCAACCACAACAGTCTGATGCTTCCCTCTAATACACAAAAGATGCATGTCACTAGACTATTGCAGAAGTAGTATTTGATTTTTGTTGTTGTTAACAAAAGGCTACAGCAAGATACTGTAAGAGAATGGGGGAGAGCACTCTTGCCCTGCTCCCGCTGCCCACGTGGCCGCTTTTGCCACCAGGGGCAGGACGTGGAGCAGGAAGTGCATCCCTCCCTCCCCCTCGGCAATGGCAGCTGGCAGGGACTCCGCACTCCCTCCCTCCCCACCTATGGGGAAGGAGGGGGCAAGAAGGAGGAGGGAGTGCACTGGCGGGCAACAGCCTCTCCTCCTGCCCAGGTGGCAGTAATGACCATGCTTCCTAGGGGCAGCCTCTCTGTGGGGAGTGTGGAGGTGGGGTTGGGTCAAAAGGGTATTAGGTGAGTATGTGGTGGGTTCACAGGGCAAAAGTGTTGGCACAGGCTGTAAGGGTCAGAGGTTAAAGGGTCAAAGGGCATAGGGATGGGGGGTCAAAAGGTGTTAAGCACTGGGGAGCAAGGGGCTGGGTTGGGGCTGGAATGACAAGTAACATTTCACTCATGTATTTGCATATTCATTATCTCCATAATGAATATATAAGGTGTTAAGCACTGGGGAGCAAGGGGCTGGGTTGGGGCTGGAATGACAAGTAACATTTCACTCATGTATTTGCATATTCATTATCTCCATAATGAATATATAAATAAAATGCTGCTGGTCTGCCAAAAGTTTATGAATGGGTTTGCTGGTCAACAGCATTAAAAAGACTGGGAACCACTGCTTCAGAAATTCCTCCTGCCCTTTGGTTTCCACTCATGAAATATCCACTGGCTCATCCAGCTTAGGTTCCTTCCATTCTGCTGGCAGGCCCTTCCTTTTTCTCTTTATGAAATCGAGGGACTAAGTCTCTGCCTAAACTACAATGATGGAAATTTCAGAGGAGGAAAGTATAGGGGGTGTCTCACACTTTCCAATACACAAGGTACAAATAAAATGGAGAGGCATCTCTGTTTAAAACAGGAGTGGGCAATAACACAGCTGTGATTGCTGGTACCTGTGGCCATGCAAGTAAGTATAGCAATGGGGGCCTGCCAGGAGCTAACTCAGGCAGACTGGATGCAGCCTGCAGGCTGGTATTTGCACACCCCTGGTTTAAAAGCTATGGGGCGGTAACTAGCATCTCCTAAATTTTAATCCCTGTTTTGCCACTGCCTTGCATCTTAAAACAGGATACCAGCAGGCTCCACATGGATGTGCAAGAAGAGAAAAAGACAAAGAGACTTTGCCCAATGTACTTGCACAAGTGACTGCTGGACACTGGAAAGGCTGAAAAGGATAGCAGGCTTTGTCGGCTACTTAGGGACCAATGGCCATTAATTAATTATTATTATTATGCCATTTTTCCAAACACCAGCCAGAGAAGGGGTGTGTGTGTGTATGCAGGCAGGAAGTATTTGCTACACCTTTCCAAACGCATAAGAGCCGCCTCCTTGAACGCCTTCCCCTCAGTGCCAATAGAAGTACTGTTTCTTTAAAAGCACAATGCCGCCAAGCATCAGGTCTTGAGCAGTGCACCTAGCCCCTCACCCGGTTTTCCTTCACCCACAAAATGAACACAGTATTACTTATCCTGGTATTTATACCACACATGTATCTGGACACTTGCTTCTCACAGAGCTGTGACTGTTACTTGGTAGTTCTTTAAGGCTGTAAAGTGTAGGCAAGTGGGAATTTGGCACTCAGCATATTTTGATTTCACATGGCACTCCCACCTGTTTACGAGCATCCACATCAGCAGCATCTTCTATATAGGTATCATCCGTTTCATGTTCCTCAAGTTCCTTCTCTGCATTTTCCGGTAAAACAATCTCAAAGTCATTCTTTGGGGCAGGAAGGCCCATAAGCCCTAGACGCAGATGCTCACGAGTCTCTCTTTCCTGTTGAAAGTTCATCAAGTTTTAACCATTCTAAATGCACAGAGGGTTATATTATTTAGTATATTTCAATTTTCCTAAGGCACTAATAAATACAGAGAAAAAGTACACAGATTCCCTTCTACCAATTTTAGCCAGCTATGCAGCCAACTTATCAGAAAATGTAAGGAAAAAAGAAATGAAAGATAAACATTATTAATCCACATTCTACAAAGGACGATGACCCCAGAATTCATGCTCTATGAATATACTCTCCCAAGGCCTACTGAAGGAAGCTTCCCTGAAATCAGCTTGTGAAAGCTTCAAGGAAAGGCATTCAGAAAAAACAGCCATTCAGTGCAGGAGTACAGGACAGGAGTGGCTCCTATTTTTCAATGTCAGTTTTAACATAATACTAGACATTCAAGATGACATGCATTTCATTGAAATTAACAGTCAAAACAGTTTTTCCGTAGCCTGGATATAGGGCTATTTCTGGAGAATTGTCTAACCAGAACATTTCTTTGCAGATATCATTTCTCTAGAATTGTAATGTAATGGCTCACAGATCTGGGAACTATGCTACTATGATAAGGACTAAAGCACAAACACTTCTGGAAACAGTTAGGAAGCTGAAGTTTAATGATTCCAAACTGAAGAGCCAAGTTTACCCTTGAAAAGAATGAGCTGGCACTGAGAAACTCACAAGAACTCCAAAATACATTTTGTCCTTTAAGCTAAGAGAAAACTTCAGATAGTAGACTAAAAAGAGCTATTTCCTTCAAAAGAACACACCAAGCACTTTGGAGTGGAAATCCTTTGCTAGCCCAAAGAGAAACACTGGAGCCTCTGGTGGGAGACATCCAAAACCACAGTACAGGCTTCAGACTTTGCCACATAAAAGGAGCTCCTGAGGTAATTCCTATATAGTTCTATGCCCTCTTACACCACATCTATTTGATGAGATTCATCTGGCAGAATACCCAGCAATGGAAACATCTGTTGACAAAGGTGATGAAAGAATCTGAAGCAGACTGCTATGTTATTGGGCATTTCAAGGGCTACCGCTCCTAATGGGTAAACTTTAAAACCTCTCTACTTCAATTATGTCAACAGGGTACCCAGATGAGAAAGTCCTATATCTAGAATTGGCAGCCAAGATATGTGGGATTTGAGGGTGGAGTGCGATTACAGGATAAATGAATCTTTTCTTGGGACTAAGTATTTCCTGTTCCACTTGAAAAGTACAAGTGGGACTGAGGCCTACTTAAATCCAAATGTCTTCATGTGATGGAAAATGTTGGAGCTCTGACTGGGTATGCTCAAAGCTGTTTTTTCTTTTTCATATGTGGTGAGATTTTTGCTTTTTAAAGTGTATCCCTGATGTGATGAAAATGCAAAGATGTAATTTTATTAGGTCATGCATGAATATTTATAAGTAACTGGTAACACAAGTGCTGTACAGGAGATGAAAATGAATTTCACATCTCAGGAAGTTAACGGAACTTTCTTCTTTCTCTCACATGTACTACTTACCAGTTGTTTTGCATGAGATGGATCATTGAAATCTGTCATTCCCTCTTCTGGATTGATGTTCAATTTATCTCTCAATGGAGTCCTACCTGGAGTTGCTCCAACCACTGGTTTAGGAGTTATTCCACCACGAGGGGTCAAACTTTCTGCTCCGTGAGATGGTGTCCTAAAGAGTTAAGTAAATTTGATATTTTAATCAAAGGGCATCAGCTCTGAAAGAGTTTGAATGCTTTTTAATAGTAAGATCCAGCTAAATGATCCGATTTTCAGAACTTTTTGTAAAACCATGCAATCTGTAATGACAGCTTAATAAAAGTGGATTCTTTCATAGAAGAAACAATGGAAGATGCACACACACACTGAGAGAGAGAGAGAGAGAAATCTATTACTCTTCCAAAGCACCATATTTAAGATGCAAAGCCTTGCTATAGCCTTGCATCAATATATTTAGAAAGATACTGCAATACTCTTTGACATGAAAGGATAGGGACTTCATAAAACACTTAACATGTCAGAATGGCAAAGGCCATTTAACTTACCCTATTGATTTTATTTAACCCAGAGCAAGCTTTGTTCTGGATGCACAGATAAAAAATAGAATTTTCCACAGGTGCCAAAAATATTACAGGCCTGAATGTAATGAAGTAACATTTTTAACTTAGTTTTTGGAGGTATTGTTATAACTAAAGGCCCCACGTATTCTGCAGAAATGCCACAGATTGCCCCGGTGTGCAGGAAACATTTCACTTAAAAAGGCTTTTAAATGTTCAAACTTGCTCTGCAGATAGAATAAATAATAACAAATATTTAACCCATCTTAAAACTGTTGATTTAAAGGTTCTGCTTTGTTTCTTTGCCTCCTTTCAATAAGAGACATTGTATAATGCTGTTTCTAACATAAGAATATTTTTAGTTCATTTGCTTCTACTTTCTCAAGTATAATAAACAGAAGTAAAATTAAAATTTGAGCTGAAAAACTACAGTCACAAAATATATGATGTCTAATATTTTCCAGTTCCATGGAATATGGCATTTGTGGGATATATGTTTATTTAGGACCTACTCTAAGAGTCAAACTAACAATTCCATTTCTACATTTCTACCACTATTCTAACAATTCCATAGTATTTGGATTGGCAGTACAAATATATATAAAATAAAAACATGGCAGTTTCTCTCTCCAGCTGAAACTCAGATGTGATACTTAGGAAATATTAGGATCAGATGTTATACAGAATGCCACCGTCAATATCAAACATACCAGTTCCTGAATTAGTATTATTAGTAGTATTATTAAAAGATCATAGAATCATAGAAAACTAGAACTGGAAGGGACCTCGAGATTTCATCAAGTCCAGTCCCCTGCCCTCACAGCAGGACCAAGCACCATCTAGATCATCCCCAAGAGATGTCTATCCAACCTGCTCTTAAATGTCTCCTGTGACGGAGATTCCACAACCTCCCTAGGCAACTTATTCAAGTGTTTAACAACCCTGACAGTTAGGGAAAAGCTTTCTAATTTCCAACCTAAACCTCCTTTGCTTCAATTTAAATCCATTGCTTCTTGTCCTACCATCAGAGGCCAAGGAGAACAATTTTTCTCCCTCTTCCTTGTAATAGCTGTTTTCAAGTATCTAAAAGGGTATTATGTCCCCTCTCAGTCATCTCTTTTCTAAATTAACAAGCCCAGTTACTTCCATCTTCCCTCATAGGTCATGTTTTCCAGACTTTTAATCATTTCTGTTGCTCTTCTTTGGACCCTCCCCAATTTCTCCACATCTTTCTTGAAATGTGGTGCCTAGAACTGGACACAATACTCCAACTAAGGCCTAATCAGCACAGAGTAGAGCAAAGAATAACTTTTCATGTCTTGCTTACAACACTCCTCTTAATGCATGTTTGCTTTTTTTGCAACAGTGTCATATTGTTGACTCATATTTGGCTTATGGTCCACTATGATCCTTAGATCCCTTTCTGCAGTACTCTTTCTAGACAGTCGCTTTCCATTCTGTATGCATGAACGCTCACATACAGATGTGAGGCTCAATTTGACAAAGTGACAAAGAAAGAGGTGTAATTAGGTCTTTAAAAAAAAAAAAAAAAAAAAAAAAAAGCTAGTATTTGCTGTAGGACAATAATCCAGTCTTGTTATTTAGAGTACTGTAAGAACATCTACCTATTCTACCATCTCTGAGTAGTTTGCTTTACCTGAAGGGTGTAGAAAGCACTGTATTTGGAGTCTGAACAACTTGTCTCTGGGGAGTCACTCCAGAAAAGTCACTCTCATGGAGGGGGGTATTAAGACCACCTTTCAGGGGGGTGTCAACATTCGTCAGAGCCATCAAGTTCTGGGCTTCCTGTGAGACAGACAATATACACAGGACATAACACCAGGATTTCCATAATCAAACACTGTTATGCAAGTTTAATAGACCTAGTGTTAAACTATATATGGATGCTGAATAGTCATTTAAATTTGAAAGTAGTTTGTTGAAATTATTTAAAATTTCCTAATGTTAAGACATATACACTGGCCACTTACACATCTTGCAATACAGCTGAGTACAGGTTGCATCTCTATAAACCAAGGCTATGTGGTCCGGCAACATCCATTCTAGGATCAGAGAGTCTGGGCACACTGCAGAGAGGGGAAGCCCATCCTGCTGCCCAGCTGGGCTGCCTGGGAAAGCCAGAAACCTGGGGGGAGGAGGTGGCACAACAGGGGTGAAGGGCGGCAGCAGTGGGGACAGAAATGACCTCCCAAGGACTGGAAAGAATCCCTCATCTGGAACCAGTCTAGTCCCGAGGGTGCTGGACCAGGAAAGTTCAACCTGTATTTTAATCTTCCTGACCAATTACTGTATAACACAAGAGTAAAAGTTACAACAATGAGGGAGCTGATTAATATTTCAGTTTCCTTCAATGTGGTAGATACCACAGCTAAGATTTTCCAAAAAAGATCCGTGATTTCTGACATGCAATTAACGACACTTTAAGGACTCTGATTTTCACCTGCCCTCTGAAAATCAGGGCCCTTTAAAGGTGTCTTAAGTTCATGCAAAATTCATCAACATCATAAAGCCACATCTAGATATGATAAATCACCTCTCCAAAAGACAGTAGCTACACTGAAGAATGAATTCTCCCATTGACCTGGAAGTGTCTACACTAGTGCTTAGTTCAGCCTTGCATGGGGGTAAAATTTTTCGAAATCCTATGTGATGGAGTTAGGTCAACTTAATTTTGTAATGAAGACCAGGCCTTAGTCATTTTGGAAAATCTTGGTACATGCCTGAAATGGGTCCTTTAAGAACCTTTTCTTCTCACAAAGAACAATTTTATCCTTTGGTCATAAAGAAATCAGACAACCCTAAAGGGTAACAGGAGATTAAACAATTTTGTACAAGGACTGTAACTGTAGAACACAATCTCTCTATTCTCGTATCTTTCCATGCTTGAGACAGGTGGTTATTCCACCCCATGATGAAGTATGTAATCACATGGGGGCGAGATACTGCAGGAACAGGTGACCATCAGTTCCTGAGAGAAGTGGGAGCCCCACAGGGTTCCTCCCCTTGCTGATATACTGCCTCCCATGTATTGCCAGTGCAGCTGGAGATTAATCCACTGACAGTGGCACCACCTTGCCCTGGTCTGCAGCAGCTTATCTTCACCGAGCTTATGGTACTGGTGGATCTAGGAGTGCCATGCTCTGCCTCTTCGGCCAGACCTCCTACACATGGCTCATGCTGCCCTTGCCCACAGTAAGGGTGCATCTAGACAGCACCCTTCTGTAAAAATTAGCTAAGCAATTTGCGGTACACAAATTACGTTGCTTATTCCAAGTCCAGGTCAAAACAGCTTATTTTGAAATTTGGCGCTGTGCAGATAGTGCCAAATTTCAAAATAAGGCAGTTTTCTGACAAATCCCTTAACCCTCGCAGAACAAGGGTTACAGGAACACTGGAATAGCGCACCCACTATTTCAGGAAATAGTGGGTGCATTTAAAGACATGGCGTTGCTATTTCAGGATACTTCTAAAACAGCACCACAGTCGAGACGTACCCTAAGAGAGTTACCTATTCTCCCTGTCCACAAACCTACTGCTTATGAGTCCTGCTCTCTTCAATCCAGGGCCTCTCAGTTTGTGATGAGGTGGTGCTACAGTGACTATGGGTATTACAATTCCCTACGTAAGCAAGTTTTATATGAGAACTGAGAGATCCCACAAAAGGTGCTCTGTGAAATTAAAAATAGTACTTTTAACATTCAAGCTCACAGGTATATTGATCAAAGCTCTTCTGTTTTATTAGTTCTATTTTTATAAACTATAGGGTTTTCACTCTTGTCGTGTTGTCTTAATAAACTCTGGAGTGGCACAATTGTTTTTTTTCCTTTGCTTAGGGAGGCTTGCTATGACAAAGTCTGAGAACTCTCGCTCTCAGATAACACAGAGCTTCTTCTGTATATTAATTTTTTACCTGCAGGATCCTGTCCTGTGCTGCTGGCGTTTTGGGTGTTCTAAGGGCGATGCTGTTGTTGGTGACATTGTATTCAGACAAAAGGGTGCTGGAGGCAGAGTTAGTAATTCCAGATTCTTCAGCTGTCTGACGTGCGATCTCGCTGGCCTGGCCTACTTTCACTACTTCCTCGAGTTCTGTATCTGAAATCTTTCAAAGGAAACAAGTATCAAACAGTGAGACACCTGCAAAAAAACTTGTTTGCCCAAAGGTATCAAGAACTACATACCCAAGGAAAAAGAGAACACTTAAAGAATGCTCTCCTCAAACCCAGCTAAAGTAGATACTCTGCTCCTACTTAATGCTCTGGCTAGTTTCAATGCTTATTCAATGCATTTAGAAAAGGAACAACCTGCCTGAAATGTATGATCATAAAAAGGTGTGAGGTGGAGAGGAAGAAAGGAATATAGGTGCAATGGCAGTGAAAGCTTCCCTCCACTGCCAATGTACGTCAGCTCTAACCTAGGACAAGGACTTTTCTGGATGACACAAATGTCCTATCTATGCGTCTTTGAACAATTGGTCTCTGTAGCTACTGCATGTCCTGGGTATGGAACTGTGACCATTAGACTCTTTTCACATAGGCCACCAATATCCAACAGACGGTAACAGTTCCCATTTGATCACAATTTACCTGGGGTGCTGGAAGCACTAGTTTGCTTCTTTTTTTAGTAAACTCTGACACTCCACTGGTCTGAAGAATAGCTGAAGGCAAGTCGGATTCTTTCTTCCGTTTCATATGCTGCTTGTCTTTTTTACGCTCCCTTCCTTCCTTCTCTCTGTCACAATGGACAAGAAAGTCATTTAAAATACTCGGAGCTGATCAGCAAAGCAAAACCGGCAATTCAGAAAGAGGCATAAAATCCTTTGCTCCCTCTCCCTCTCTTATCCTCCTCTCCCACAGGAGCCCAAACCACTACCTCCCATGTGGCCCCATCCCCAGGTGGTCATCAGCCAGCACTCAGAGCCCCTGGATGGCATGGCCACAGCACCCCCAGGCTACAGCCCTGGTGCTTGTGGCCAGACAGTGTAATCACCATGCCCCAGCTAGTCCCAGGATTCAGGCAGCTAGGCAGCACAGTGACCGCACTCCCAGCCCCCAAGGTCCTCCTTCCCAC